TTACCCGACCCATACCCAATTAATTTACCCGATCCAGCCTTGATCTGATCTGAGTCGTTGATCAAATGAGATCAACGACCCAGATTCTATTTCCCAAATTAAATCAAACGACCCCCCCTTGACCCCTCATTTCTCATAGAGACCGGTCTCTCTCTTGGTCTCTTCGTCTCCTCCTTCTCTTTAGAACCCTCTGGTTCCCTCCTCCTTCTCCGACGAGCTTCATCGCCTCTCCGGCCATGCCCCGGCCTCACTTCTCTCGACCACCAGTAACCATGGAGCTGTGTCTCGCTGATCTTCTCTAAGTTTTGAGGCTCCAGAGACTTCCACCATGCAAGATGGTCACTGGAAGTCTTGCTTGGCTTATCTCCGGCCTTTTCTTCGATGGTTTTCAGTCCGATGGCACTATGAACGCCATTATTAACGAGTTTCACAGCCAGGTTCCTTACCTCACCGATTTATTGCAAAAACCCTAATTTCCGCCTAAGTCTCTAGATCTCTGTCTTTTTATAGCATTTTTAACTTATCCTTTTGTGTTTTACACTTCCTTCTGCCTGATTCTCAAATTTTAAACGTTTTGTTCTTTTCTCAAAAGCTAGGGTTTCCGAACCCCTTTCAAAAATCACTATATCTTCTGCTTCTTTTTGAGTATTATGTGCTTATGCCTGTATTATTTGTTTATGTTTGTGTTATGTGCTTGTTTGTGTGGTTTTCTGGTTAATCTGAGTTCCATGCTTTAAGTTTCTATTAGGGCTCATGTCTTGTGTTGAAACTGTGATCTTCTCGCTTAGTGTTCTCTGATTTTCACACCTATTGTGTTTATAGGTCTAATTGTTATTCTAAATAATTCTGTGCATCTCTTTGAATCCCTGATTATCCGTATATGATTTCCTTGGAGATGCTCCACTGATTTGAATTGTTTCCTTGATTGTGAGATGCTTTCCTTACTTAAGGATGATTCCCTGTGATTTTCCATCTCACCCGTGATTTTCCTTAACTAATTGCTTTCAAAATCAGTCTGTTTATATGCACACTATATGCTTATTTACTTTCCTTACTTGTAATTATGTTGTACATTCCTTATTTGATGCATTTTTCTTTACCGTTTGAGCTGTGACTCCCTAATTGAAGGCAATTTGAGTTTTAATTGATTCTAATAGGTTTTCTTTCTATAATTATAATCAGTCTATATGTGTTATCTTATTTTTCACTTATTTGAAGACTATATATACTCTACCCTCTCTTTAGCATAGAGGGGGGAATCATTTTCTGAACTCTCTCTTACACAAAAGAAGTAATTCAGTACTCTCTGTTTGTTTCACACAATCTCTCTCCCCTTGTGACTACTGGCTGCTCAACTAGCTTGAAACTCAGGCTGAGTTTCAGGCTGCTTCATTGTTCCATTGTTCTCTATATTGCTGCTCACTTCACTACTATCGCTGCACACTCTTTATATTGTTGCTCACTTCACCACTATGCATATTATAACTCACTACTGTCCTGCAATACTTTGCCTTCAACTGGTATGTCTCCTATTTTATTTACAGCTTCAAAGCAATATGTTTTCTATGGATATTGCACTTCCTTTTGTTTCTCGTATGTTTCTACTTATGCTTTTGTTGTTCTTGCTGCAATTAGCATGCTTCTATGTTGATTAGCATGACTATCCTAATCTGGCATGCCCATTACTCCCCTTATATGTCTCATGCATGTCTTTCCTTATCCTCTAACCCCAGTGTAGTTATCAGCATGAAGTTCTAACCTCTTTGGTTGAAACTTGCCTGATTGTTTAAGTGCTGAAGTGCTTCTCTTTGATGTTTGTGTAACTGTGTTCTCACTCATGAATTACTTGTCCCCTTCTCCTCTGCCCCTGCTTGTGCTTACCTGACATTGTATCTTCTGTTTCAAACTGCTTTTCAATTCAGTCTTTTGAAATTTCATCACTATCTCACTACTCTTAGAAGTTTAGGGTCAGCCACCTTAGTGTAAGCATTGCTTTGGGTACCTTGAGTACCCACTAAACTTTGATGCACAAGGCTGGTAATTCCACACTTGCACTTGTCTTATTAATTTGTTTTGGGAGCTTGGTATTGGCCAAGGGTCCCAATGGGCCTTTAGGGATCTTTGCCGCACCCAAACCTTGGTAAAGGTTGTGAAACTCAAAAGAAGTGAGGATTGGAGACTTGGGCCTGGTTGAAGGCTCCCTATAGAATAACTTCTTATTTTTCTACTCTTCGCTATTGTAATCTGATTACTTCATCTGTAATAACTTGTAATGAATAATTGGGGCTATAGTGGAATTGGGTGGGACTATGCATGCTTGGTTAATGGGTAGAGAACATGTCTATAGGGTTTTACTTACTTATTTGTGCAATAGATATCCTGCATAGGACATGCATCTCACACGATTAGAAATCTTGTTTCTTGCTCTTTTACTTTTAGCTCGTTATTATACTCACTTAGTCATCACGATTAATTAACAACCTGTTATACAAATTGCTACTGCATTTAGGGACCATGTTTTAGGAGCTTTATGTGCATAAGACATCATGTTACTTAGGATCTTCGTTTGAGTTGCAATTGTTGAACGCCTCACTAATTTGTCTAATTTAACAACATAAGTCTGATGAACTATGCCTCCTCTCCTTAAAACTGGATTAATATGCATGCTCACCTTTCAAGTAGGCAATACATACGACGCCTAGGCAAGCTTTAGTCCTAATAAAATTGATTGATTTTGTTTTGTGAGTTTTCAGACTACTCCGTCTCTTTCTTAAACTACTGAACTCCATTCCTTGTTTGCCTCGCTGAGGATTACTCTGATTTCTGTTAAAACTCCAGTCCCATTTTGACATACTCTCGGAATCAGGCATATGTTTTATCATGTCTTCTACTGGGTTGTTTGCTTGTCCAGAATCGTGCTATTTTACTACATCATTACTATATTTTGAAAGTGTTTCAATATGTCTTTTACTAATTCCTAAACTATTATATACCTACTGCCATTTTTTAGTTATACTTCTGAAAATTTCGATCAAACTTTTTGATTTCTGCCAAAACCTATCTTTAATATTCCTGCTTTTAACTCTCATTTCTTTAGACCTTAAATGTGATTGAGACGTGCTAATTATATGTCTATCCGTGGAGGGACATTTGAGCCTCTTACATGCCTTTATGTGATCCATTACATGAAGTCTTATTTGTTTTGTATGTCGCCTAGTATTTTGACCTTCAAACCTAAAGGTTCAACCTAGTCCATACCTTATAGGAATAATGGTCCTAAATACCCTCTAGGACTTATAGGATGGGACGGGTAATAGCACACAATAAGCACTCGCGACCAATCCACATGTTTTTAACCTTTACGGGGCGGGAAGGGTAGAATATGGAGATGATGACGGTGCGCTAATATCTCGTGCGAGAATGATTGCTGGGTATTGCACCAAACTGATTCATATTATATTTAAACCTAGGACCCCTTTTCTCCTTCTTTAGTCATTGATGTTTTCTTAAATTATTGTTTCTTCAATAAGATTTCTGCTTTTAAAATCACTTGTGTCTTTCTTCTTTCAAAATTTTTCAACTTGTTATGTGCAAACTTTGCTTGTTTAGTCCTACTCTTCTTAAAGTCATAATTAAGCACGGTCGGGAACCACACTAGTGGATCTTAGGGGTGCCTAATACCTTCCCCTCGAGATAATCTCAAGCTCTTACCCGAACTCTAGTTTATCTTTCAAAATCCTCTTTTTTTTTAAGTGTCCTAATGCATTATAATCATTAGGTGGCGACTCTTCAAATTCCATATTCCGATTCCTCGAAAGGGGAATAAGAGTTATTTTGTCCATAATGTCGTAAACCCGATTTTGCCTTCTTTTAGGAGGGAAAAAGGGGGCGTTGATAAATGTCTCCTCACCTCTTGATCATACTGTCAAGCTAAAAGCACAAGAGGGCAATCCCCTACCAGATCCCACATACTATAGAAAGCTAGTGGGAAAGCTCAACTTTCTCACCAATGCTAGGCTGGATATAGCCTATAGTGTGCAGCTCTTAATCCATTTTATGCAAACTCCAAGGGACACTCATTTGATTGCAGCATTTCATCTCCTTAGGTATCTCAAAAAGGATCCTAGCTTGGGTGTATTCTTCTCCAACAGTCCTGACTGTTCACTCAAGGCCTATTGTGACTCAGACTGGGTAGCTTGCCTAGACTCTATGAGGTCTGTTACTGGGTACATTGTTCTAATAGGAGACAGTCCTATTAGATAGAAGTCTAAGAAGCAAGAGACTGTTTCCTTGTTCTCAGCTGAAGCAGAGCACATATCCCTCAGGAAAGTAGTTGGGGAGTTGGTGTGGTTGAGCAGGCTATTTGCAGAGCTTATTGTTGCCCAATCAAGTCCCATTCAGGTGTTTTGTGATAGCCAATCTGCCATACATATTACCCATAATCCACTATTTCACTAAAAGACCAAGCACATTGAAGTCGATTTCCTTTTTGTGAGGAACAAGTTACAAGAAGGTCTCATCTTTCTTCATCATGTGAGTACTCACAATCAGTTGGCTGACATTCTCACCAAAGCCCTCACAGGGGTCAAACATTCAGTTGTTCTAGGCAAGTTGGATGTGCAGGCCTCACCTCCAACTTGAGGGGGGTATTGAGTATAGTTATTATTCATACATTCATTATTATATTGTATACTTAGCATACTTAGGTAGAGGGGGAAAGGGAGGTACATGGGGCAAGGGAGCCTATAGGTTGAGAATCGGGTCATGGACATAGGTTCACTAACGAGTAAGTCCATAGAGTTGGCGAAAATCCTTCAGAAGAGGAAGATTAATATAGCGTGTGTCCAGGAGACTAGGTGGGTCGGATCGAGGGCGAAAAACGTGGATGGTATAAGTTGTGGTACTCTGGAGTCCTGAGGGGTAAGAATGGAGTGGGTATCCTGGTAGATAGCCATCTTAGAGAGTCGGTGGTAGAGGTCAGGCGGGTGAATGATAGACTAATGACTATTAAGTTGGTGGTGGGTGAGGGTACTTTAAATGCCGTTAGCGCGTACGCGCCGCAAGCAGGCTTGGATGAGGAGATTAAAAGGCGTTTTTGGGAGGGTTGGATCGTTTGTAGTATTCCGCCTTCCGAGAGGTTATTCATAGGAGGAGGTTTCAATGGTCATATTGGATCATTTGCAGGTGGGTACACTGAGGTGCATGGCGGCTTTGGTTTCGGGGAGCGGAACGGAGGGGGCATTTTGCTGTCAGACTTTGCCAAGGCATTCGATCTAGTGATTGCGAACTCAAGTTTTACGAAGCGGGAGGAGCATTTGGTTACTTACCAAAGTTTGGTGGCGAAGACTCGGATTGACTATCTCCTCCTCAGGAGATGCGATAAAAGGTTGTGCGAGGACTGCAAGGTTATCCCGGGTGAGACCCTCGCAACACAGCATAGGCTTTTGGTGATGGACATTTGTATTATGATAAGGAGTAAGATTTGGTCAGTACGAGGACACCCGAGGATTAGGTGGTGCGCCTTAACTCAGGATAAAGCTAAGGAGTTGGAAGGAAGGTTATTGGCAATGGGAGCTTGGAGAAGTAGTGGGGACGCAAATACTATGTGGTCGATGATGGCGGGCTGTATAAGGAAGGCGGCGAGAGAGGTGTTAGGGATATCTACGAGCCGCACTGGTGGTCACAAAGGAGACTGGTGGTGGAATGCAGTTGTCCAAGGTAAAGGGGAAGCAAAGAAGGCGGCTTACCTACGGTTAGTAGGGAGCACTGGCGAGGAGGAGAAGAGAGCGAACAGTGAGAGGTATAAGGTAGCTAGGAAGAAGGTGAAGATGGCAGTAACAAGAGTCTAAGACGACAGCTTTTGCTCGTCTGTATGAGGAACTAAGGAACAAAGGCGAGGAGAAGAAGTTATTCCGACTCGCTAAGGTGATAGAGGACAGCTTGGGATCTGGACCAAGTGAGGTGCATAAAAGATGATGATGGCAAAGTTTTGATGGGAGATGACCAGATTAAGAGGAGGTGGTAAACCTACTTTCATAAACTTCTAAGTAAAGAAGGGGATCAGGATATTGTACTAGGGGAATTGAGGAATGCCAACAGTCCCCATGAATTAAGTAATTGTAGGGACATTGAGATAGATGAGGTCATGGAGGCAATGCATAAGTTGAGAAGGGGCAGAGCTACCGGGCCCGACGAAATTACGGTTGAACTTTGGAGGTATGTGGGTAGAGCAGGCTTGGAATGGCTTACTGGATTGTTTAATGTTATATTCAAGACTAATAGGATACCTGAAGAGTGGAGGTGGAGTACAATGGTTCCGTTGTATAAGAAGAAAGGTGATGTCCAGAGCTGTAACAACTATAGAGGTATCAAATTATTGAGTCATACCATGAAAGTTTGGGAGAGAGTGGTAGAAATGAGAGTGCAAATGACAGTGTCTATTTCAGACAACCAGTTCGGGTTCATGCCGGGGCGATCTACCATAGAAGTTATCTACCTTATTAGGAGGATGGTGGAACAATACAGGGATAGGAAGAAGGATCTCCACATGGTGTTTATTGATCTGGAGAAAGTGTACGACAGGGTTCCTAGGGAGGTCTTATAGAGCTGCTTAGAGGATAAAGGGGTCCCGGTTGACTACATTATGGTGATTAAAGACATGTATGCTGGAGTTAAGACTTGGGTTAGGACAGTAGGAGGTGACTCTGAGCATTTTCTAGTTGTTACGAGGTTGCACCAAGGGTCTGCGCTCAGCTTATTCCTATTTGCCCTGGTGATGGATGCACTAACTCATCATATTCAAGGGGAGGTGTCATGGTGCATGCTATTTGCTGATGACATTATTCTAATTGACGAGACATGAGGCGGCTTCAACGAGAGGCTAGAGGTTTGGAGACATACTCTTGAGTCTAAAGGTTTCAAGTTAAGTAGGACGAAGACGGAATACCTCGAGTGCAAATTTGGGGTTGAGCCGACGGAAGTGGGAGTGGAAGTGAGGCTTGACTCTCAAGTCATTCCCAAGAGGGGTAGTTTCAAGTACCTTGGATCGATTATTCAGGGGATCGGGGAGATCGACGAGGATGTTACACACCGTATAGGGGTAGGGTTTATGAAGTGGAGGTTAGCGTCGAGAGTCCTATATGACAAAAAAGTGCCACCGTTACTAAAAGGTAAGTTTTATAGAGCAGTGGTTAGGCCTGCCATGTTGTATGGGACTGAGTGTTGGCCGGTTAAGAACTTACACATACAGAAGATGAAAGTAGTAGAGATAAGGATGTTGAGGTGGATGTGCGGGCATACAAGGATGGATAAGATTAGGAATGAAGATATTCTAGAGAAGGTGGGCGTGGCCCCCATGGAGGACAAGATGCGGGAAGCAAGACTCAGATGGTTCGGGCACATTCAGAGGAGGAGCACTGACGCATCGGTGAGGAGGTGTGAGCGACGGGCTGTGGTGGGCACGAGGAGAGGTAGAGGGCGACCTAAGAAGTATTGGGGAGAGGCGATCAGACAGGACATGGCGCGACTTAGGATTACTGAGGACATGGCTCTTGAAAGGGAATTGTGGAGGTCGAGCATTAAGGTTGTAGGTCAGGGGAAAGTTGTGAATATTTCTACAACACAATAGAGTGAGACTAGCCAGTTAGGAGTTAGTCTGAGGATGCTATTGGTCGTCTATTGATGCAGGGCTTTATCTGTTGGTTTTTACGATATCATCCATCTATTTCGTATTTCGTATTCCGTATTTCGTATATCTTATATTGTTGTTATTCTATTATGAGTCTATTGATGGTACTAATATATCGTCTCTTGTTGCTTTCTTGAGCCGAGGGTCTCTTGGAAACAGCCTCTCTGCCCCTCGGGGTAGGGGTAAGGTCTGCGTACATATTACCCTCCCCAGACTTCACTTGTGGGATTATACTGGGTCGTTGTTGTTGTTGTTGTATACTTAGCATACTTAGCTTACACTTAATTAGCTTAGTTAGTAATTAGCTTGGTCAAGTAGTCAACATGTATATATACACTTGTACAACTAATGAAATGAATTGAGGGTTCTCATTTTACAGAAAACACTTTCGTTTATGTGTTTCTCTCTATCCCTCTCTCCTGTTCTCTTTTCTCAGAACCTTCCAGAAGACTCCATGGCAGCTATGTAGATATGAGCTTGCATTTGTAGATTGTTACGTGGCAAGTGCAAGTTTCATTTTTCTCTTATTTACTTTAAGAGGAAAAAATCTGTAATAAGAAAAATTAGGTAATTTCATTTTCCTTAATCTTTAAGGGTTGAAAAGTAATAATTTTCTGTGATTTTTTTTAAAAAATTAACGAAACTACCCTTAATCGTCCAAGTCTTCACTCTTCAATATAATAAAAAGGTCGCTCTTTATCTTTTCCAATTCAAAATACTGTCTTAAAATGCCTTTTACTTAGTAAGTACGCATACAAGTCCTTAATATAACTAAATTCATCAATGGAATAAATTAGAAAATAAATAAATATGTCTTTTTGAAAAAAGAAAAAAAATACGCGACAAAAGTTGATAAAAACAATTTCTTTTATGAAATGATAAATAAATATCTGAGTGATATGCACTTATTCGACCGGGGTCACGTGCGTCACCAACTTTTCTTTGTTTTCGCTACGCTTTACCCAACTCATTGTTTCTTTCCTCAGTTATTACCGCCACGTTTCAAGACAAAAAAGACCCACGTTCGCTTTTACAAAACCCTCTCTATCTTACTTCTTTTCTTTCTTTTTTCCCAGTCAACTTGGTAAATGGAGATGCCTGTAGGTTGAATCTAGTACAGTTTTAACCTCCATTCAAGTCTATGTTGCGTTTTTAGAAGGGGTGTGAATGGGAGAGGCAACTCTTGGATTGTACATTGTCATCTCATTCTTTCATTGTTTATAAATTTAGAGGTTTCATTTTTCATGCAAAAATTCTGAAATTCTCCCATTTTCTTTACATTATTTTTTTAAAATAAAATATAAGTGTCGCCCTACTACTGAAACACTAGAGTTTGAGGTAGAATACACCACTAGCCTTATTACTGAAACACTAGAGTTTGAGTAGAATACACCCCTATGTATAATCCGTTCTATTTTGGAAGAAAATAATCCTACATCTCGGTATTAGAAGAGCATTGTAAATTCAGCAGGCTGGGATTTAATTTTATTCTTGCTATGCATTTCTGTTTCACTTTTACTTTACAAAATTTTCTGGTTTAGAACACAGAGCCGTCGCTAAAGCTTTAACATACAACGTTCGTCATGTATTTTAACTTTACCATGTTCTGCTCTGAGTGTGTTCAGTTAACCACTTAGGAAATTAAATAATCAAAATTCCGATTTCAACGTAGCGCAGCTCATCTCCTATTATCGGAAAGATGAATCAGTTATTGGCAAGATCGGTGCTGAGGCGGTTGGTTAATTCTGGCAGTAACTGTAACCGTTGTATGTCGTCCTTGTCATCGCCGTTGTCTTTGCCGTCCGCGGCGGTAGTAGTTTGTATGGAAGTTCATAAGCCGATTAGTGAGTCAGTTTTGATGATGAGTGGCAGGCGGCTGAGATTTTCCGGTCAGTGGTGGAGGATGATGAGCTCCACTAGTGAACCGCCAACGAAGAAGTCAACGTCGTCGTCCACTGCGGTGAGGAAGGAGGATGAGAAGAACGAGAAAACGAGTGGTGCTGCTGTGGAGAAGATGGAAAGAAAAAACGATGAAGTTGTTATTTCCAGCTATTGGGGCGTCTCGAGACCAAAGATTACTAGAGAAGATGGCTCTGTCTGGCCTTGGAATTGCTTCATGGTATGTGATGATCACAAGTGTACGACTTGTTACTTCTACATATTTCTTCAATCAATTAATTTTCAACCACATAGTAATAGGTAAAGTTGACCGAGTCCTACTTTCAGTTACTGGTTTATATCTTTGTGATACATTAATTACTAGTTGATGACTACTTGATTTTGCAAATTCGGAGTTTGATATTAGTGTTTAAAGTTGTTGATTAAAAAAAAACTATCCTTAGTTTCCGGTTAGAAATATAAAGTAACTACATGTTCTTATAACGTCCATAATTTGAGGTTTCCGGATATAGAGTACATATGTTTGAAATGACCAACTTCCTCACTCTGTTGACTAAATTTTTTTAATTCTAATCAGTTCCAAATGATGAACCTGCTTAAGATTTTTCATTTATGAGAAGCTTTAGCTCATTTTTCTTCAGAGTCCAGTCAATAAAAAGAATGTTCTTAGTCAATTTGATGATTAAACAATTAATTTAAAAAACAAACGAACGAAAAAATAGTTAAAATAGTTTTGAGTTCGTTGGTTTAGATTATTACCCATTGTTTAGTCCAAGTTGATTCAGTCCATCTTGGCCGGGGCGAACTTTGGGCTGGTTGGATTATGACTCGTTATTGACTCATGCCCTTTAACTTTTCTACATTTAACTCAAACCACCTATTTGACACTCCTATATATGAGGAAATTTTATCTCCCATTTTATTGAGTTTAAGGTTCAAGCCAAATGCACCTCTGTTGCAAGGTTAGACTCTATTAAATTAAAGAAGGGCGCAAAACACAACGAAGCAGCGTCTCTCAAATTTGAAGTAACATTTACACGATTGAACTAGTATACCGTATAATGAATCCCTTTCACTTTCACTCTTGGATAATGGGATTCGTTCTTTTGCTATAATTTTTATCAGTATTTATCTCAAGGCTCAAAACAATTATTGAATTGCCTTGCTGATCAGCTTTCTACCTTTCTTTAACATGCAGAAGGAAATGATTTCCCGGAATAGGTGGTTAAACTTTTCGTAATTTTGTCTTGCTAGGTTTTGTCATCAATATAATCTCTGTTTTAGCATCTCCTACTTTCTCACTCTCTGAGGGTAGGTGGAGTAAAATTTCAATATATTATGGAGTGATGTTTCAGTAGTACATCACTGATGTATAGAAGAGTTGTAGTTGTTTCATTCTTCTTTTGTCTACTCTGATTTTTCAGTATATTATGTAGAAATTTTGTAAATGTTTTATTGGGACTTTCTTGTGATCTTTTCCTTTGTCCCTGGGACAAGATGCTATGTAAAGCATTAAGTTAGAAATTGTCATGTTTTAGTGCTCTAAAGCAAAAGGAAATCTTGTCTTTCATTAAGCTATACGTATCTAATTCTCCATTTTGTTTGTAGCCATGGGAGACATATCAAGCTGACTTGTCCATTGATCTAAGCAAGCACCATGTACCCAAGGCATTCCTTGATAAGGTTGCTTATTGGACAGTGAAACTTCTCAGGATTCCGACAGATTTATTTTTTAAGGTTTGCTTTCCACTCAAATTTGTAAGGAATCTGTTATCCAATCAAATGCTACATGACTACTTTTTACTACTACTTTGGAAACAAAGCTTCCTTGTAACTTCTCGATCTCGATTTTACCTGGAAGTTCTTAAAAAGAGCTTGTACTAGCATCTTTTAACATAAATAGAAATGCTAAATGGAGTCCAATTCACTTGAGCTTTGGGTTGTTATTTACGTAACTGGAGTTGTCAAAATGTGTCATTTTGGAAAATGATATGTGATCCAAACTTTAAAATGGAGCATCTATTCCGGGCATATACTGATTCAGTCTGTTGATCGCCATCACCATCAGTTTGTGCAACCGACCATTCACATGTCATGTGAAATGTCTGGTGATGAATTTATGTACATGTGGCCAATTGCTCCGATGGCACACTGAGCAGGGATGTCACAGAGATGACCTCTTTACTTCATCCTTCTACAGTTGGATTACATATTTTTGCAAAAGGAAACACGTGACAAAATCACAACACTTGGTATTTGATGGACTATCTAAGAGCACATTTCTTTTAAAAAAAAAAAAAGAGGAAAAATAAATACTTTTCTGTTCTGGACACCACATCTATTCTTGACACCATTGATAATCTCTGACCTGTATTGCAGAAAAAATATGGTTGCCGTGCAATGATGTTGGAAACAGTGGCTGGTGTGCCCGGAATGGTAGGAGGTATGCTGTTACATCTGAGGTCGTTGCGCAAGTTTGAGCAAAGTGGTGGTTGGATAAAAGCATTACTAGAAGAAGCCGAGAATGAGAGGATGCATCTGATGACTATGGTGGAGCTAGTGCAACCCAAATGGTATGAGAGGCTTCTAGTTCTTGCGGTGCAGGGAGTCTTTTTCAATTTTTACTTCGTGCTTTACGTGCTGTCCCCCAAGCTTGCACATAGAATTGTTGGGTATCTGGAAGAGGAGGCTATACACTCGTATACTTTATATCTGAATGATATTGATCGTGGTGAAATTGAAAATATTCGTGCTCCTGCCATTGCAATTGACTACTGGAGACTGCCTAAGGATGCAACTCTAAAGGATGTTATTACTGTCATTCGCACTGATGAAGCTCATCATAGAGATGTTAACCATTTTGCATCTGTAAGTGTCTATCTTCAGTTTGGTGGTGTATGGAGTCGATACTCATTTTCTCAGATTCCTGTAGTAAATATATAAACTTTATTCCTACTTGTTACATGTCATACTGCATTGTCCTTTGTCAGTGATGTCTTTTGTCTAGTTGCCCTGCTGATAGTAATTCATTCTGTTTCTTAGATCAAACTTAAACATCACTGAGACTTTACACGTTTGTAGCTGGTAATTTTATCTCCAGTTGGCATTGTGTGCAAAAATTATTTTGCAGCTGATTTAGGTGTTGCTCTTGCTTTGCAGGATATCCATTATCAAGGAAAGAAATTGCAGGAAGCAGCTGCTCCTATAGGTTACCATTAAATCTACATACTATTCTGTCTTGCGTGGTTGTTCTGCTTTCCATGTTTTGTTGTAGATGATGGGTCCATTCTGAAGATTGGTAATGAAATCTCTAGACAGTAGCAGATGTAATGTATGGATTAAACTGATGTTCTGTTCCTGCATAGTGGTATGATAAAATTGTGGTATTGCTCTTCGAAGAGACGCGAGATGTTTGTATTTAACTGAAAAAACTGGGGAAAGTATGAAAGACACTGATACCACTGAAAAAATTTTGTTAAAAATGAACCTTTTCGATTGAACTCATGCTTGGAAAACTTTTATCTCCAGAATTCATAGGGAAAGGAGAGGAGGAATCAAGAATTTTACGCATAACACACGAAGTTCTACTAAGCCAAGAGAGTCCTATTGAAATAAGCTAGAGATAGAACTAAAAAGGAAGTAAAATTTATCGTCTGATCATCGAGGGAAATCTTGGTTGGTGGATATGCATTTGAAAGGATGCCTGTGTTGAGTTTTCACATGACTTCAGGAGGTTTTTCTCACTCCAATTTGTATTAGCCAAATCTTTCAGGACCAGAATTTGGAGTCACAAATTAATGTACATAGATTCTTTTACTAGTGTTTCACAACAATATTCATCCAAGAGCCATCAGTTTCCACCCAAAGATGGATGAATTAACATAAAAAGAATGTCACTCTGACTGAAAAATAGGTCATTCAGGTAACTTGCGTGTATTAGCTATATGGTCCAGTGTGTATCTTAAACCATACCTTTCAACTGCCCATTTTGCTTCTCTAAATCCATGACCATATGCCTCAGAATAGCTTTTCTCTATTCCATCTCTCAAAAACTCTTTCAAATTTCTCAAAAACTGAGCTGTTTCTCTTGTACCATTCATAAAGTCATCACCAGTAAAAGATTGCCATTCTAGCCACTTGTGAGCAATAACTTCGCAAATACCTTCTGCGATGTTTAGGGCCAGCCCTCTATAGCCTATTAAATATCAGAGGAAAATTGAAAAAAGTAGATTCATGAGGTATGTGTTTATTTTCCCTTATTTTTGGTTGAAATTAGGCAAAAACAACTAGAGATCATAGTAAAAAGCTGGAAACCACCTTGAATCTGCATCCAGGCGTGCATCATTTCATGAGCCAAAGTTGCTCCCAAAGCCAACCTGTTTAGTTTTTACAATGACCATTGATGCATACCATAAAATAAAAGTAGGGGATTCATTACACATCCTCTTGTTTACTAACTATACTAGGATATGTTTACTCAAAATAGCATTTTAACTACATCGTTGGACAACATACCTCGAAGGGGAGTCTTGGAGCAACGGTAAAGTTGTCTCCATGTGACCTATAAGTCACAGGTTCGAGCCGCGGAATCAGCCACTGATGCAAACATCAGGGTGGGCTGCCTATAACACACCCTCTTGGGGTGCGGCTACTCCCCAGACTCTGCGTAAATGCAGGATGCTTCGTGCACCGGCTGCCCCCATTGGACAGCATACCTAATTGCAGTTAATAAGAATCTGAATAATTCAAAACTGAAATTGCTTATCTGCTTATCCTAATTAGATGAAGAGCATGAGATATATTTCCTCTTTACTCTCCTTGAAGTTACTAGGTGAAAATTGCTTGGAGTTCAATACTGAATCCATCAGAAGACCATTTATGTGAAAGTATAGAAGTTTGGAAGAAGATTACTTTGGAAAGCCATATAAAAGCAGCATTGCTTTCACTTTGCGGCCTGGAACCAGGTGCTCTACTTCTTTCACCACTCCAATATTTTCACCCTTTTGTATTGACCTTGACACCTAGCATGAATGAATTGAATGCAAAATGAGAGAGTACATCACTTCGTACCAAAGATAGCAAGGTTTATCCACCTCATTGCATACTTTACTGAACTTTACTCGTTATAACAGAAAACATCGACTCATCAAACAGAAGTCTATAATAGAAACAGATGTACTAACATAAGTTACGGCGTCCAATTTAGATTTCTCATAAACCGTCAAGCCAAGTGAGCTCTGTGAAAAAAACCAAATACTATTACTACTAGAAAATATGATGGAAGTAATAGAATTCCTCTTGCTAATGTAAACACCTGCTCTGCCTACCTTGCCATCGTTTCCGATCATCTCTTTTTGATCAACTAAAAGAATTGGAATGTAATATCTAACTTTCATGTTTAATCCTTTGAAAAATCTGTGCACTTCATCAAGAAGGGGCTTACAGTCTTCAGGATCCAGCACTGCTGTGTTACGACAGTCAGGGCAAAGTTTTCGACCATCATTCAGAGTGATATACTTCATATCTCCAATCTACAAATAGGTGAGTAAGTTCTCAGTTAACATGTCATAAAGTTGACCAATTGTTAGTACATATTTAGCTTGAGATTTATCATCATTGAACGTTAAGCCAGTGTTGCAGCTAGAAAGGTTATTCTATATACAGAGGCGGATTCAAGATTTGAAGTTTATGGGTTCCTACCGTAATCTTAGATTAATATGCAATAATATTTGGATTCACAATTAAATATTTACAGATATTTAGTTGATTTCTTTATATAAATATAAGGTCTACGTCAAAGTTATTGGGTACCCTATGTCAAATTTACTGGGTTCCGGGAACTCATATTCAATGCTCTAAGTCTGTCATTGTCTGTATGTTAGCTACTCAGGAATCATCGTGCAATTGCTAGTGATTGATTTATTAAAAAGATTACTTAGCATTTCGTTTTTAATAATTCTCAAACTAATCGAGAGGTTAGTATTCATCCAGTTTCTGAAACATGCTAAGGGCTATAGTGAAAAAATTACTAGTATTAATTATTAACCGAATCCCTGTCTGTGGATCGTCACACTCCAATATATATATGCATTATATGATGGGATTAAACTAGGGGTGGCAAATGGGCGGGTTGGGCTGAATTTGGGCGGGTCAAGATGGGTTAGGTCAATAAATGGGTCATTGCCCAACCCAGCCCATAACCCAACCCGCGCCAACTTGACCCATGTTTTAGAATCATGTTCATCTTACATAAAAAAAATCTTTTACCTTAAAATGTGTAAGTCGAAAATTTTTTTGGGGGTAAGGGGTGAGTGGGTGATGCNTTATAAGTTGGGTTGAGATACCTTTTGTTTTAGGTGAGTTTCATGGGTTGTATTTGGGTTGCTTAATGGGTCAAAATGGGCTATAAAATATAATGGGTTAACTTGGGCTCAACCCAAATTGACTCATGAGCTAAAATGTTTGTAACCCAACCCATTAATCTCTGGGCGGGTTGGATAGGTTTGGACTCAAATTGCCACCCATAGATTAAACTAGGGTTGCGCACGGATCGGATCGGATCAGATTTAGCACATTTCGGATTTGAATTTCGGATTTCGGATTCTAAAAAATGCAATCTAAATCCGATCCGAATTATATCGGATTGGATCGGATCGGATTTCGGATCGTATTATTATGCCTCAAAGTTAAACTAATATGTATATTTTCTTTGTAAAAGAGGCAATACATTAAGAAAAATTCATGTTTATGCAATTATGAGAGTGTTAGGGTGCCAATATAGCTAAATCTAGCAATTGTAAAGGTAATAACTTGGAGGTTGATGTAAAGGAAGTACTGACTATCCGAAATTAAAGTGTAGTATTTATATATGCCCTAATAATTTCGAATTTCGGATCGGATCACATTAAAATATACCAATCTGAATCCGATCCGAAATTTTAATAAACACAATCCGAAATCCAAAATCCGAAATTGAATGGATCGTTTCCGATTTCGGATATCCAATCCGAATGAACAACCCTAGATTAAACTATGAAAGGTTAAGAAAGCAGGATTGTGCAATATAGATTCAATGAGGAACATCTTCTGTTTAATAATATAGAAGGGCGATTGAAAACCTTAAATCTAGAACAGGTACAGCACTGAGGAGTTCCATCAGATGTATGTTTTTTACAGAAAACCTGGCCCCAGTAGGTACACCTTAGCCACACCGAGCAAATCTGTTAAACATAGTAGAAGCATCAGGTAACACATTCCGATACTTTGAGGAAAGGGAAGGATATTTGAGAAAAGAGAATACAAACTTGTTCTTCACAAACATCACAAACAAGAATATTGCATCGCTTGCTACTCTTTCTCCACCAAGAATTGCCCCTACAAAAACATGCCAATTTGATTAGATGGTATGCAAAATACAAACACTTGAATTGTGGTATACTTACTTTGATGTATGGACAAAGGGATTTAACTCCTTGAAAAGTTTCCACCATTTCAGTTCTCTGCCTCCAGTACTAGTACTGTAATAATGTAAACCTTTAGTAAGCAAATATCTAAACTAAAACATAATGAGCTTGCAACAAAGGGGAGGTAAATAGGACAATTACATAAATGTGACATAAGGAAATGGTAGATGGAAATATTCATTTCCCATACAACGGTTAAATCTGAAGGCAGAGGCGGATGCAGTCAGAGGCGTATCCAGGATTTCACGAGAATGGGTGCACCCAGGGCGAAGCTATGTACGGCGAACTGACCATCGTTCGCCGAAAAATTATACTATGTATAGGGTAAACTATTACTTGTTTTTTTAAAAAAATAGACTTTGAACACCCTTGCATAGCTCACTGGAAAAGGATGTTAAACATTTGAACACCATTATTGAATTTCTGGCTTCATGAACGTTATTGTTTTTCAACCCAACTTCATAAATCAAAGAAAAAAGATAAAGAAACAAAAGAAGAAGTGAGATTGATAAAGAAACTGAAAAAATATGTGACTTTTGATGGTAGAAAAGTTGGTATTTTGCTGATTTGCAGAAGACTTAGAGCGCCAGAGAGTGTTGTGTGGAGAGGTATTTTTAATTTAGGGATTTTGAAAGTATAACTGAAAGACTAAGAAGCAGTTATGTAGTAATAAAGAGAGGAAAAGAAAAAAAGAACGTGTGTGCTAAAGAGCATGGGAAACTTTAAAGTGCAGGCCCAGGAGCATGGGTATGTAGCCAATTTATTAATTAAAAAGTGAAATAATGGATAATTTTAAAAAGGGTATTGCGGGGATTCGAACCACCTACCCGGTGGATGGAAGGTGTACTTCTCTACCAGTGCATTACAATGTTCACTTGAGTATGGGTTCACCCATACAAATTCAAGTATTTTGTGCTGAAATTTACTGGTGCTATACAAGGTTTAGGGAAAGGAGGATGGGTTCACGTGAACCACCCCCTCCCATNATTCACCCATACAAATTCAAGTAATTTTGTGCTGAAATTTACTGGTGCTATACAAGGTTTAGGGAAAGGAGGATGGGTTCACGTGAACCACCCCCTCCCATGTAAATCCGCCCCTGGATGCAGTGTGGTAGTTACAACAACAACAACAATGACCCAGTATAATCCCACAAGTGGGGTCTGGGGAGGGTAATATGTACGCAGACCTTACCCCTACTCCGAAGGGTAGAGAGGCTGTTTCCAGGAGACCCTCGGCTCAAAAAAAAATAACATGAGACGATATATTAGTATCATAAAATGCATAATAAAATAACAGATTTATAAGAGATATGAAATACATAATACGAAATACGAAATAGATGGCTGGTATAGTAAAAACTAGCAGGTAAAGCCCTGCATCAATANTCGTCTGCTCAACCCTAAATTTGCACTCGAGGTATTCCGTCTTCGTCCTGCTCAACTTAAAACCTTTAGACTCAAGAGCATGTCTCCAAATCTCTAGTCTCTCGTTGACGTCGCCTCGTATCTCGTCAATTAGAATAATGTCATCAGCAAATAGCATACACCATGGCACCTCCCCTTGAATATGATGAGTCAGTGCATCCATCACAGGGCAAATAGGAATGGGCTGAGCGCAGACCCTTGGTGCAACCTCGTAATAACTGGAAAGTGTTTAGAGTCGCCTCCTACTGTCCTAACCCGAGTCTTAGCTCCAGCATACATGTCTTTAATCACCCTAATATAGTCAACCGGGACCCCTTTATCCTCTAAGCATCTCCATAAGACCTCTCTAGGAACCCTATCGTACGTTTTCTCCAGATCAATAAACACCATGTGGAGATCCTTCTTCCTATCCATGTATTGTTCCACCATCCTCTTAATAAGGTGGATAGCTTCTGTGGTAGATCGCCCCGGCATGAACCCGAACTGGTTGTCTGAAATAGACACCGTCTTTCGCACTCTCATTTCTACCACTCTCTCCCAAACTTTCATGGTATGACTAAGTAATTTGATGCCCTTATAGTTGTTACAGCTCTGGACATCACCTTTGTTCTTATACAACGGAACCATTGTACTCCACCTCCACTCTTCAGGCATCCTATTAGACTTGAATATAACACTAAACAATCCAATAAGCCATTCCAAGCTTGCTCTACCCACACACCTCTACAGTTCAACCAGAATTTCGTCTGGCCCGTTAGCTCTGCCCCTTCTCATCTTACGCATTGCCTCCATGACTTCATCGATCTCAATGTCCCTACAATTACTTAATTCATGGTGATTGTCGGCATTCCTCAATTCCCCAAGTACAATATCCTGATCCCCTTCTTCACTTAGAAGTTTATGAAAGTAGGTCTGTCACCTCCTCTTAATCTGGTCATCTCCATCAAAACTTTGCCGTCATCATCTTTTATGCACCTCACTTGGTCCAGATCTCGAGTTGTCCTCTCTCTCGCCTTAGCGAGTCGGAATAACTTCTTCTCCCCACCTTTGTTCCTTAGTTCCCCATACAGACGAGCAAAAGCTGTCGTCTTAGCCTCCGTCACTGCCATCTTCGTGGTAGTTATGGGTTTAAAAATTCATAACTTTCGAAGCCGAGTAGAAATTGAACCCATAACTTTCGACGCTGAGTAGAAATTTATGTTTCAAAATTCATTAAAATGCAAAAATAATAGATTTGTATCCATGACTTTAATAATATAATGGATTCAATGTTAAAAATCTTAAAAGTTGGACCCATAGAGTTTAAATTCTGGATCCGCCTCTGTCTGAAGGGGAGCCTTGGCGTAACTGGTAAAGTTGCTGCCATGTAACCAGGAGGTCACGGGTTTGAGCCGTGAAAATAGCCTCTTGCACCCTTGCGGTCCGGTCCTTTCCCCGGACCCGCGCATAGCGCAAGCTTAGTGTACCGGGCGGCCATATAAAGGTTAAATCTAACTAAAATGAAGGAATGGATACTGTAAGAACCAGGGAATGAGAGGTTGATACCACAGGCCATATTTACCTCAAGTCTGTAGAAGATAATGTGCTTTCTTCCAACGCTTGTGCAAGTTCTTCTACTTCATCAATCTGAGGTAACTCCATATCTGAAAAAGTAACCAAATATATGTATAAGAGACCACTTGCATAAAGAAACACCTTTTCAGCAATTATAGCTCTGGCAAAACAACCAAACAAAGCTCCAAAATCGTGAAATTTATATGGAATTGAACTAAACATATCAACTTCTTACTAGGACAAAATTTAGCTTTAAAAAGCAAGACGAAAAGGCTACATCAGACAAGTGAGACTTGCTCAGTTGGTAAAAGTACCTCCACCCACGACTGTTAGGTCTTGGATTCGAGTCGCGTTAGAGGGTAAGTGTGGAAACACTGTACATCCTAGGGATTTAAGAAAAAGGCTACATCATTAATGGCCCTTACCACTCGTGTATATTTCTTTTCCCTTTGATTCTTGAAGCGAGAGTTCAACAGCACGAACCACATCATCATTCTCATCTTCTGATAACTGGCCGTGCATTCAAATTTCCAATAGATTTAACCGATAAATTGATAATAATGATGATGATAATAATAATAATGAAAGACAGAAGTAAGAAACACAAAACCTCATAAGAAGGACCTTCATCCAAGAATCTATTAGCTGACATTTTTCAAGGTTAAAAATCCTGTGAGTTTAATGTAATATAACAGCACTGCTGCAAATCATGAAATGTTTTAATAAGAAATATCCATGGTGAAGAAAACGAAATAAAACAACAAATATTCTGCAAGTAGCCCTCAAAGAACTTGCAACTCAATTGAAGTGGTAGTTTCGTCTTGTCATCAGAAATAATATAATATAACAATTAATTAATCATTTCCGATCGAAGACTTTGACCATGTCGTACTCAAGTCTTCATGAAAGTTATAAACAAAGTGTGCTTCATGCTACTAGCAGTTAAGCTTCTAATCACTTTACCCTTTTCATATTTCTGATTCTTTTTTCTCATTAAAAGAGAATAGAAAAAGTTACAAGTACCTTTTTAAAATCTTAAGGAGAAGTAACGAAAGAAATTAAACACAAGCATGCATGCATGAGACGGAAGGGGTATTCAAACCAAATGAAAACACACCAAATCGAAAAGTCAAACCAACCAATTAAAAACCCGATTAAGTGGTTTTATTTTGGTTTGGTAATGAATAAAAAAATTAGAATTTTTAAATATAGAATATACTTTAAAAAAATTATATAATTTATATATACTTTTAAGACTTTATATAGAATTTTCTTTAAAAAATGTCTAGAAATATTTGGGATCTTCTCGTGGGATGTAATATCTAATAGAATTATGAATTTCATTCAATTTTATTTACCTTAAATAATAGGTTGTATCACTTTCTTATCAAATATTATCGTAATACGTCAATCATCTCTTTGCTCTTCCATATTCATATGTCAAGATTTCTTATATCTTTTTCGAATTTGAAATGGTATCTCGATAATCTAAAATTAAATAGAACATATCATTATTTCATATTAATTTTATATTTAATTATTAAATTCGATTAACCTTGAAAGAGTACATCAATGAAAAATTATTGTTAGATGATTAAGAAAATAATTATCCTGTGTAACTAAAAAAATTCTCCCATAAGAATATTTAATAGATTATATTTTTGTCATTTTTCCATTTTTACATATATTCACTTGTCAAAAATTTATCAATAACTTTAATAAAGTAAGATTGAAATGATATTCACGTAACAAAAAATACTCGAAAACCCCGATAAAACCGAACAAATCCAAATCAGTGGCGGACCCAGGATTTTGTGCAAGCGGGTTCAATCTTAGAAGTACATAACTTTAGTCGTAAAATAGTGGTTGTCAAGTGGGTTCAAATAAAATATTTATACAAAATTTATGCAGCTTTAATCATAATTTATATATATACACACAGTATTATTTTTTTATGAAGAGGGTTCAGTTGAACTCGCTTGCTACCATGTGCGTTCGCCATTGATCCAAACTGATATAGTTGGTTTGGTTTGATTTTGATAAAAACCTAATCAACCTGGTACATGCACACCATATGATGAGACAAAACTTACAAGTGTCTTTTGTGCATGTAAGAGTTTATTCTATAGTAATTTTTTTAACCTTTACTACCTTACTCGTGTACCATTTGTGAAAATCTCCCTTGTTTGCAAAATTCTTAATTGGTATAACTCTCCTTATTACTTATATTTGAGGTTATTTTATTAGTTATTTTATTACTCCATACGGACATTATGCAACCTTGGTGATATAAGGAAACAAAAAAGCTCTTATTTTCTCTCCATCTGATCTACGGCCAGTGGCGGAGCCAGAATTTTCATTAACAGATATCAAAATATATAAAAGTAAATATATCAAGAAATTAATGAGAGTCAATACAAAATAAATATCATTAAATTCATTTTTTTACTTACTTACACGGTGTATTTTTTCCACATAGGGTGTCATTTGACACATTTCCTATAAGGGCAAGAAATGCCAGTAAGAAGAATAATTGGAATCCGACAAATAATCCAAGTTTCTCCGAATTGCCAAAAGTCAATGTGATCGTGAAGTATCTAACGGAGATATCATCAAATTTCCAGAAAGTAAAGGGGACGTCAGGATTAAAAATAAAGTGTCTTTGAAAAAAGCAAGGTAACAGCCAAAAAAAGAAAATCGGTTTTTGGTTGACTGACTTGACTCTTACGAAAAGATACAAATTCTAAAGAAAGGAGAAAAAAGGGCAATTAGAAGTTAGAGAGACAAGGACATTATCTCGGAAAGGCAAAAAGTCACTCTCACTAATGAAAACAAAAACTAAATGAAGATATATGTGTTTGTTACGGAAGTTATTTTCCCCGAAAAATGTGTTTTCCGTAAAAAAAAATTATTTCTTGTATTTAATTGGGTAAGTGTAAAATATTTTTCGGAAAAGAATATATATTAAAATAACATTAACAAATTAGAGTGTTATTTGATGAAATTTTTGAGTACTAAAAGATTAATAATAATGTCTAAGCTTTGTCAGGTATCGCGAAGTTAAAGCTTAAGATTTTTATTGGCACGACCCCAAACCACCCCGGTCGTGATGACGCCTATCATAGTACTAGGCAAGTCAAACCAACATTTACCATATCGAATTCTTTTCAGTAAATCATTTTTTTTCTAAAACCGATTAAGTCTCAAATCTTTCATATGTAATATAAAAATAACAGAAATACGCGGAAAAACAATACAAAATATACTAACACAGCCCGAATCTGGTATTACTAGTCATGAGCCTCTAAGTACAACCCAACACAGTCTAAATAATACATAGGTCTGAAAATACAAAGTACTAAGATAGGAAGGAGGAAGGCAGGGCTGCGGACGTCGTGCAGCTACCTTGCGGTCTCCGGATAAGACTCTGAGAGTGATGGACGCTCTCACTCTGATGCTCGGGTACCTAGATCTACACACAAGGTGCAGGGAATAACGTGAGTACGCCAACTCAGTAAGTAACTAAAGTAAATAAAGTCTGAGTGCAGTGACGAGCATTTAAAATCATATAAGAAATCTCAACCTAGTGTCAGTTAGAAATCTTTTGAAAACATTTATTCAACATTTTTCAACAGAGACTTAGTAATAAAGAAGAGTGAAAACAGAGAAAATGTCATAAACAGGCCCCTCGAGCAAGGTATCACTCATAAGTATAGCCTCTCGGGCAAGCCTCTCAGTCACTCGTGACTCACCTCTCGTTAATCAGTACTCACACCCAACACTCCGGCTCAATAGATATCTCATAATAGTAATAGTAACCGCTGCGACGTGCAGCCCAATCCATAATATATAGTCGACTACGCTCACTGGGGTGTACAGACTCCGGAGGGACTCCTACAGCCCAAGCGTCATATCGTTGTGGTGCGTAGCCCGATCCAATACATATCGCTGCGGCGTGCAGCCCGATCCATATAAATATCACTGCGGCGTGTAGCCCGATCCATAATTTATATATATAATATCTCTGCGGCGCGCAGCCCGATCCATAATATATATGTAATCCTCACTATTAGGTCATCAACCTCTCTCAGTCATTAATCTCACGGCCACTCGGGCATATTGGTGAAAATCAGGGAACTCATCCCAAACAGTTTTCATATATTAAGAAGAAGAGTGATGAAACCGGTTTTAAACAATAAATAGGTAAAACATGATTGAGGATATGCTTTCAAATCAAACAAAGTGAGAGTAGTAAAAATACCCCTAAGGGTCTAAAGAGGTCGGCACAAGGCCTCAAACATGGCATTTAGCCCAAGTTAACAAACCAAATTCTAAAACACATGGATATCATATACAATATACCAAAATATGCAACTATACAGTCGCCACGGGACGGACCAAGTCACAATCCCTACAGGTGCACGCCCACACGCCTGTCACCTAGCACGTGCGTCACCTCATTTATCAAAATAGTACGAAATTCCGGGGTATCATACCCTCAGGTCTAGATTTACAATAGTTACTTACCTCAAACTGGATGAAATATTACTCCGCGACGCCCTTGCCTCTCGACTCGGCCTCAACTCGCGTCGAATTTATCCAAAATCAAAATTATAACATCAATATATGCTAAGTGAACGAAGCCCAAATATTACTCTTTCGCGAACGCGAGTCCCATCTCACGAACGCGGAGCTTCAGCTATACAGGCCATCGAGAACGCGACACTTCCAATGCGGACGCGAAGGGGGCCCAACCGCTCCATTTTCCTCTTCGCGAACGTGTTCATCTCCCCACGTTCGCGTCCCTTTGAATGTCCATACCTTCGTGAACGCGAGCCCCCTTCGCGAACGCGAAGGGCAATTCTTCTGCAACAAAATACCAGAAATCTGCAACTCTCCAAAACAATAACATGGCCCGTTAACCTCCCGAAACTCACCCGAGGCCCTCGGGACCTCAACCAAACATGTCAACACATCCCATAATATCATTCAAACATGTTCCAACCTTCGGAACGCTCAAAACAACATCAAAACATCAAATCACCATCGGATTCAAGCCTAAGAATTCCAAAACTTCCAAATTCCGCTTTCGATCAAAAAATCTATCAAACCTCGTCCGAATGACCTGAAATTTTGCACACACGTCACAAATGACACAACGGACCTACTCCAATTTCCGGAATTCCATTCCAACCCCTATATCAAAATCTCCACTACCAACCGGAAAACGCCAAAATTCCAATTTCGCCAATTCAAGCCTAAATCTACCCCGGACCTCCAAAACACATTCCGATCGCGCTCCTAAGTCCCAAATCACCTAACGAAGCTATCCGAACCATCGGAATTCACATCCGAGACCTTTTTCACATAAGTCAACTTCCGGTTGACTTTTCGAACTCAAGCTTACTCAAAAGAGACTAAGTGTCTCATTTCTCTACAAAACCACTCTGAACCCAAATTAACAAACATGATACCACATAATACAGTTGAACACGACATAAAAAGGCAGAAATGAGGGAAACGGAGCGATAACTCATGAAACGACCGGCCGGTTCCTTACATTTATGATAAATAACTTACGTACGCAAGGAGAGAAGGCATTTTTTTTCATTTTGGTGAAAAGGGTTTTCCTTGGTTTAAACTAAAACATCATTGCATTCAGACCTAAGAATCAATTATGGGTGAAAACTTAAACATCATTGCATCCAATTTGAATTAGCATAGTTGCATGACCTCAATTTGGAGTAAAAAAAGGTACATATATAAAAAAAAAAAAAATTACAGGTTCGTTCACAGCAATGTTTGTCCAAGACACTGATGGTTCTTGGACAATAAATATATTGATGAATAAATTAACACAAAGATTAACAACGCCACCTAATTAAGAAGTAAGTTATTCAGGTAACTTTCGTGTACGAGCTATATGCTCCAGTGTGTATCTTAAACCATAACGTTCAACTGCCCATTTCACTTCTCTAAATCCATGACCATATGCCTCGGAATGTCTTTTTTCTATGCCATATTTCAGAAACTCTTTCAGATTTCTCAAGAACTGAACTTTATCACTTGTACCTTTCATGTAGTCATCACCAGCAAAAGATTGCCATTCTAGCCACTTGTGAGCCATAACTTGGGAAAGACCTTCTTCGATGGGTAGGGACAGTCCTGGATAGCCTATAAATACGAGAGGAAAATTGTAAAAAGAGAGTGATAAAATTTCCTCTCGATAGTAGGGAAAGTAGGGGAGAAGGACATTTCTGCTTTTCTTCTCTCTTTTGCTGAACTAAAAAGGTAGATTCATGAGGAATGTGGTTTTCCACGAGATTTGCTTTTCTTTACTTTTAGTTGGATTTAAGTTATATATACTGACGCTATAATTTTTTTTTACTTAATTTAGCCGGCTATACAGGTTGTCACTCTATTTTCCAGTTACCAAATCAGGTTTGTTATAATTTATAAAGAGTTATCTATTATTGTAGGTCAAGTTAACCTGATAGGATAAAAATTCTATAGATTATCTATGCATAAAATTCAAACTCTTTTTAGTTTAAGTAGACAAAAGCAACAAGCTTAATTTAATAGTAAAGAGCTGGAAGCCACCTTGAACCCGCATCCAAGCGTGCATCAGTTCATGAGCCAAAGTTGCTCCCAATGCTATCCTGCTTACAAAGACCATTGCACACCATGATGTTAAATTATTTATGAAAGCAAATTATTTATGAAAAAAAAGGTATATCTGTTATTACTATGCCTGTATTTGTAAATAATGATTCTGAAAATTAGAACGTTAGCTTATAAACGTAAATATAAATAAAACAGAAATTAATTCGAGCCCACTGAATTCACAGTGTTTCCTTAAGGAATTTAATTCCCTCCTAGTACCCAAGGTTATGGATTATTTCGTCCCAGGATAGAACGAATTACACACTGGTTTAGCGATACTTCAAACCCCAGTATTTCAGCGAACACAAAGTTCGGCAGCAAATCACACTTACGGTTACTTTGTTTGTAGTTTAAAGCAATGCACAAGAAAGGAGGAAAACTCAGAAGTCGAATGGAAATTCTGAGAGGAAGGAATGCAAATTATAGCCAACGTTGAGTTTTTCGGTGAAGAGAAGATCAATAGCTCTCAATTCTGTTTCGGTGTGTGATTCTCCAACTATTGCTGCTCATATTTATAGCAGTCAGTTGTGAGACCCGCCCCCTCTCCATGGTGGAGCATGCACTAGCTTGTTATGGAGCAAGCACTTAGCCATGGTGGGAGGAGCACTAGGCGGCTGCTATTGCAACTGGTGGTACAATACACGGATTGGAACATATCCGTTACAAACACGGATAATATTACGTTAATATTTACTATTAACAAATAAATTTGGTCCAAAAAATTAATCAATCAATCGATCATTTGACCAAATCCAAATCCAAATCCAAA